CCCTTAGCCTCCAGAATGGAACACAGCCCTGCTGACACACTTTGGTTTTAGCCCAGTGAGACCCCTTTCGGACTTCTGACCTCCAAAACTGTAAGATAATAACTTCGTGTTGTCTTAAGATCACACTAAGTTTGTGGTAATTTGTTACGGCAGCAATAGGAAATCAATACATATACTAATAATATTTTTCCCACTTCATCCTTTAGAAAGTATGAATCTACTTCTTAGGAAAACAGGGTGATGGGGAGCCATGGTGAGGGTTAGGTGACAGATCACCAACACATAGTCAACCTATCGTTGTGTTACGTTAGCGAGTATATATATATGATGTCAGACATTAATAGTAACTACTTTTTATAGTAGTTTACACTTTTCAAAGAACTTTCAATATATTGTTTGATGCCTTCATCACAATAACTTTGAAAAGCTAATGTAAACGCATCACTTCCCCTTCTGACAGGTAAAAAATAATAAGTCACCAAGAAGGTCCCAGAGACCGGTAACGACAGAATCAGCATCTTGTTTTTCTCTCTTTTGGGAGTTGTTCTCAGCCTTTTTTTTAATCTCACTCTTTCAAAGAACTTGGGTCCCAGGGCGCTAGAAACAAAAAGCCCACTTTTCTAAGTCTCCTCTATGTTTTTAGGCATTCTGCCACCATATTTACCACTGATGGAAAGAGTTTAAAGCCATTAAGTTAATTGAAAATTTCCACCATTGGGCTTCTAGACAATGACCTGGAGTCTGGTGGTCAGGCAGACCTACCATTGTAGCACGCATGGTTCCCAGGGCAAAGGGAACCCTCAGAAGCCACAGGCTCCTTCCTCCAAGGGTTTACTCTTCATTGGCTCTCCCTTCCCCACTAGCCTCCACCCTCCTCTGAACCCTGGAGGTAGCCCTGACACTAAGAGTCTCTGCCATGAAATCATCCCTCTGGCCCATCCTACTCTATACAGTGAAGAAATCAGACACCTTGTCTAAGTATCAAAATTAAAGTCACTAATGAGGGGCAAATGGATCTAATTTGCCCCCAGATGTGATGTCCTGATAAGATCACATCACTTATATACATATAATATAGTAGATACTACATATACTAATAGTATTATTACATATAAAATATATATATAATATATAATAATATACATATATATATATATATATGTATATAATTCTGGCAGGGACTGCATAACCTGAATCTAATCATGAAAAAACACCAAACTCAACATGAGGAACCTTTTATTAAAAAGGGGGCAGGGCTATATTCTTAAAAGATTGTCACTGTCATAAAAGACAATGAAAAGGTGAGGAACTGCTCCAGATTGGAGGAGACTAAAGAGACAGGACGATTAAATGCAATATGCAATCCTAGACTGGATCTGATACTAGAGGGAAAAAATCCCATAAAGGAGATTATGTGTGAATTGACAAACTGGAATGCAGATAGCGGATTATATTTTAGAATTGTACATTAGTATTTTCAGTCTCTTGCTCCTTCATTCGCCTATTTATGGGGCACTTAGTATGTGCCAGGTTTTGAAAAGTCCTGTAAGCACAAAGATAAACGGGGCATGAGGCATGACCTTGAGGGGTGTATAAAGTCGTCAAGGAGACAGAGAAGTAAATTCAAAAATGAAAGTACAAGAAATCACTGTACCCAAGGTCAGTAGGAAAAAAAAATGCTGAAGGACTTCAGAGAAGAAAGTACCTGTGCACCCCTGGAGAAAAATCAGGACACAGGAAGTGACATTTCAGCTGAGTCCAAAAGGACAGGACCACACTGCAGAGGGCTGGGATGGGGCTGGTGGGGGTGGTGGGGACTTTGAAGGTAGAGGAAGCAATGTGCCTAAGGAGCCTATGTTTGGAAAATGTAAAGTGACCAGGTGATACTGCAGGCATTCGAAACCAACACAAACGAGCTTGGCCTCCAGACTCCTTCAAATCTCATTGCAGCTGACTAAGGCTTCAGGTGGGGCAGGTATCCCAGCGGGGTATACAGGACACCAGGGCAGGACATCCCCCAAAGGGCCTGTGAAATTCCCTAAACTGAGGCTTCATTTTTCAGAGACCTGAGAGCTGCTGAACAAAGGGAAAGGCAATGGGCCCCACTCTAAATATGAACCCCCAAATATTTTGACCTTGTGGACAGCACTGCCTCTGTTAATTAAAAGTTTATGTGTAATCTACATTTAAAAACTCATATTCACATAAAGTTGCATCAGTCTTCATTCTCTCAGATATGAAAGAGAATATTTAGTCCCTTGGTGGTAGGCCCATAGAGATGAACGAATTTACAGTGAGCGACAGATGGTCTCATTGCCAAAGTCACAGGACAGGGGTTGCTTCCTTTATGAGGGTCTTTGGCCTCCACGTGGCCTTTGCTTTTTCTGGGCCCCCTTTCCACTGTGGATCTGTCAGAACCATGGATATTTAGGTCATCCAGGAGATCTGGGTCCCAAGGAGAACAGGGGGTCACTATTCACACTCACATAAAACCGAGTTGCAACAGAGTCCATTTCAAATTTTCGGTGCGAAAGAGCTCTGCTGCTAGGAAAGAATGAGGCTTCTGGGAAATTATAAGGAAGTGAGGTGCCACTGAAGAAAGCACTCCCTGGACAAGGACCCTTTCTTCCCAGCCCATGGCAGGAACACAGCCCCTAAAGTTCTGTGAGCCACACATTTTCAGTATTCCACGTTGCCCTCTGCTGGAAGACAGCAGGAAGAGCCTGGCCCGCTGGCTCACATAAACATGTTTGAATCCGGGTTCTGCCATCACTGACTCTGGGCCTTGGGCAACTCATCTTGCCTGCCAAGCCTCCATTTCCTCATCTGCAAAATAGACAGGCTTCACAACACTGCTGTGGGAATCAGTAAAATAATGCAGAGGAAATGCTAGCTGTCGGCTTCATAACAGGCACTGGGTAAAAAAAAAAAAAAAACAGCCGTTCTTTTTCCTTTTGTTTACAGCAACAGTTGTGATCAAGAAACATGGGACTTACACCCAGAAGAGCTCAGCCTAACTTCCAATTCTGCCACTTAACATTCTTGGGAAAAAAAGACATGTGTTTAGCCCCTACTTTGCTTTAGGTATTCTGCTGGTTCTTTATGTAATTTTCTTTAATCTTGAGGATATAACCCTGAAATAGGTATTATTATCCCCATTATAAGAACATTAAGTTCAGAGAGGTTAAGGCATTTGTCAAGGTCACACAGCTGGCAGGATACTGAGCTTTCAATCCAGAATGTCTGAATCTCGTTTCTTGCACCAAAAACCATCAATAACCAGGCTGCTTGGGGACAGCAGCGGACAAGAGTGAAGCGGAGGAAGGAAAGGTGGTTGAAGTTGGGTGAAGTGACCATTCATTAGGGTTCTATTTCCAGTTTTCAGAGCTGTTTCCCCAGCTTACCTAGAGGCTATAGTTGGAACACACTATAAGAGCTGGTCTGCAGCCCTCCTTTTATTGTTAGAATGACCCAAGTTCTAAAATTAGCAGTCATCTAGAACCTGGGGAGCAGAGCAGCTAGCTCTAGGTCTCTTAGGAAGAACTAATGTTGCCTGTTCCACTCTGCAGTGCAGCAACTTTGCTGGACAACATTTTATAGCTAGAGATTCCCTCTCCATGTGCACCAGCCCAGTTCAGTCTAGAGATCACGCTCTCCATCCCTAGAAATCACCTATGGAGACGGGTCAGGAATCTCCAAGTTCCAAGGAGATGGGAGCACACCCAGAGTGAGCAGGCTTTCAGGTCAATCAGACCTGGTTCACACATGATCTTGGGCAAATTTACTATCTCAGCCTCTGCTTCCTCATCTGTCAAATGGAAGGTAATAACATCTGTGAGGAGTAAATGATGTAATGGGTGTAAATGGCTCAACATAGTGCTGGCACGCTCCGCAAGAGTTAGCAAAACCACCCTGTAGTAGCAGTTCCCCAGGACAAGGCCGAGAGCCTTGGGGTTCTAGGTAACAGATGGGAACTTACAGCATCAAGGGCAGGATGTATGGCCATTTATTCCCCAGATCAGAGGTACCCAGCAGGAGAGAGTAGGGACAAAAGCAGAAAGCCCTTACCGTTGCCAGCTTGCCTTCCTGCCGTTTTCTCCCTCCATCTCTTCTTCTCCGTGATCCTCCTGACGCATGTGGTTAACGGTTAAACAAGTAAGGTTCAGTCTCATTGCCTGACATACCTGTTGCACTGTCTGACATTCTGGGACCAGGGCCCGTGGAAAGTTTATTTTTCTCTGAGTCTGATCTCAATTCTGTCTCTTTCTCTCCCTTTCCAAGAGTGCAAAGCAGTCAAATAACCGAAAATCCTATTTGGGAGGAAGGGGTAGAGAGACAAGCAACTTGTGTTCTTAAGGGTATGAAGGGACCAAGGCATTTTGTTTCAATCGGGAGCACCCAGCGCCTTATGTAAATTGATATTTAATTGGAAATTGAGTTGTTTCTTGGCTCGTTTGGGATCTTCTCAAAAGTGAAAAGCACAGGAATTGTTAGTCCCAGGAAAGCAACTGTGATTATGGATCTTTCTATTCTGTCTAAAACCACCTAGAAATAACAACAAGAATATATCCTACATTTAAGGGGATCAGGTAAGAAAACGAAGAGACGATGATTTAGTTTACGTTGCTGTTGTACTGAGAAACTTTTCTAGGATACCATGAACCCTGATTGGAAGCATAATAGACCATTCATAAAGAGATCACTTCTAAAGTTTTAGAAGTAATTATGGAAGTTTCAAGCCCTCTCACAAAATCCACGAGCCATCTTTTTCCAGTGTAGCTGCCTACACACATACACACTTAATTCTAGGCTAAAAAATTTGTGTTGTAATTGAGGCTGTTAAAGCATTGAGGTATTCCTCCCTAGATTCAATCTCATGGATTATTATTTCCATCCTTTTAATTTACCATTTATAGTCACATTCTATTTTTGTGTGTGTGTGTGTGTGTGTGTGTGTGTGTGTGTGTGTGTGTGTGTGTACCATTAAGGAAGCACACAGGTCAAGTTGTACAGGTTTAATAATTCCACAGTTTATGTTATTATCATTTGAACACATCACTTCTGTTCCATTAAAGTCCACTCACTGTAGATAGTCCAGGTCACCCAGCCTCCCAACCAGAACATTTAATCAAAGTCTTCTGTACCCTAAACCCCCACAAAACAGATCTCTATGATGAAATAACAGAAAAATACATATTAGTTCAGTGAGTGGCAAAAGCATTGGTCTTTAGGACCCAGAGATCTCTAAAACCAGCAAGAGCACATGGGACATGGAACGAATAGATACTGTTTGTGCCTGACTTGGAATTCTGTGTCCCTCCTTTCCTGAAGTGCAGAATAACCTACTTACGCAACAGCAAGTGTAAGAAACTCGGCAGGAGGAGGAAAAGTTATAGTAACATGAGTGGGGAAGAGGGCTGTGGACTGAAACTCAATTACCTCCCTAAGGGAGTGGGCGAAATACCCTGGGGACAGTAACCCATGAACACTCCGGCTGCAGAGATGTGGAGATTTAGCCAGAATGCTCTCCACGGAGCAGCCAGCAGCCCGGCCCTGCCTCGGCTGAGCTCCCGCCACTTTCCTCTGAGGTTCACAGCAATGTTCTGGAATCCTCTGCAGCAGGGCTTCCTCCTCTGCCCTATCCATCTCTGAGCTAACTCCTTGCATCGAGGCAGGACCAGAGCTTCCTGATCAGACCCCTCTCTGTAAGGAGCTAGAATTGTTTTCGCAATGGAAGTTCAACACTGAAGATAGCAAATTCATTCGCTCACAATTTCAGGCCAACCTTAGGCAGGCAGGGTAAGGCAGGGAAAAGTGTGCAGCGTCTATGATAACCCTATCCCGACCAAAAGCAGGTCACTCGGGAAATCCCTAAGATCGAACTGGTGCTCAGGGCTCTCTCTACGATCGTCACATTGTATGTAAATTGTGTTTACACAATTTGTGTTTTGTCCAGACTGGTTAGGATGTTCCCAGCCCTCACTAAACCAAGCTTCCCGGTTCCAGGATGGAATATCTATTCCTAGGCCCTTTGGAGTAGTGGGCAAGCTGTCACTATTTAAAATTTCCTGGTCCCTCTTTAGCCTGGATTCAAGTCCCCAGAGAATTGGGGCAGCAGTGGACCAGACTCAGGTTGTACTGATGGAGAAAACAGCTGGTCCTTGTGTGTGTTTTGAAATTAACTGAACTCCCTTTGGAGTCACATTTACTCCTGGCTCTGCACTAGGAGCATAATATTAAAACAAAAAGGTCTTATTCATAAAGATTCTCACCACTTCCCCAACTTTTGCACCTCTCAATCCCTGCCTCTCCCCGTCATATACACACCACCAGAAGATGTGGTCCCAACACTTCCAGGGTCTCTAGGGCCCACAGGGAAAGCAGCGTTAATAGCATTTGGCGGAAAATCCCACCCTACTTTGAAGACTCCTCCCAGTTCAACACAGTGAAGAAAGAAAAGGCTAAGAGAAGAGGCAGTAGAAACCAGAGCCTGTCCCTTCCCACGTATGAGGCACAGAGATTTCCGGACTCAATGAAAACAGCATCATCTCTTGCCAGAAGACCACCAGCTCCCACTGGGTGGGAGCCGCATTATCACTTGTTTCTCCTCTGGACTGAAATGCAAGATAGTCAGGATGGCTGTGAGCGTCTGCTGGCGGCCCAGGCTGTCGGGCAAGGTCAGGAAGCGGTAGATGATGTTTTTGAGGTACTCCAGGTTGGCTCCCTCCCGGCTCTGGTCCCTGATGTTCTTTTCAATGTGGCTCTGCAGGACCCCGACCTCCTCGTGATGCCGCTCCCTCTCCTCCAGCAGCCGCTCCTGCAGCTGCCGGACCTCGATCTCCAGCCTGTGTTTCTGCTTCCTCAGCAGTGTGACCTCCACCTCCTTGCGGGCCAACTGCTCAGCATACAGGAAGAAAGTGGGCTCGTTGGCCGCAGCTAACTGAAGTGCTTGGGTCAGGCTATCCGGGGAGGCGGTGTCGGCCGGGTCCCCAGGACCGCCAGCACCCACAGGGCTTCTGCGTCCCGGCAGCCCGGAGGACAAGGCCACCGAACGCAGCTGCTCCAGCTCCAGGTCCTTCTCAGCCAGCACGGCCAGCGCCCGGTCCCGCTGCCGGTGCAGCTCCTCCTCCAGTTTCAGCGTGCGGTCTCTGAACTCCAGCTGGCTCCGCTCCAGCTCCTGCCTGTGCTGATGCTGCAGCCGGCCCAGCTCCTGCTTCCAGTCCTCCGCCTCCTGCTGGTGCTGGCGCTCAAGCTCCTCGCAGGACAGACGCAGGGAGATGTACTTCTCCTTGAGCTCTGCAAGCTGTTCCTGGGCTTCCTCCAGCTCCTTGGCCAGGTTACCGTCTTTGGTGTTCTTGTTCTTGAGGACGACCTGGGCCCTCACCTTGTACCTCTCAAACTCTTCCTTCAGCTGTTTTAGCTCCTGTTGGTAATAGAGCGCAGTAGCCTTCTCCCCATCGGCGGCCTCGGAGCTGGGCATTATCTCCAGGTCGCAGAGCTTCTCCACATCCAAGGTCACCTGGCTTTTCCTGGCTGCCACCTGCAGTAGCCTCTTCAGCTTCTCCATCTTGTCCTTCAGGACATTCACGTCCAGACTGGACTCTTCTCCATGGCTGTCTAGAGGGGACCGGCTGGAGGCTGCAAGCGCCAGCGTCTTGTTCTCCAGGTCCAGCTGCACAATGCGCTCCTTCAGCTTCTGGATGGCCAGCTGGTCCTTCTGCTTGGCTTTCTCATAGGTGCCCAGCAGCTCTGACACCTCGGATATTTGGTTCTCCAGGGCTGCCACTCTCTGCTCTTCCAGCTGAGATTGCTGACGTAGTTGATCCTCTGCGAGGGCTGTCTATAAAACAAAAAAACAGATGGAAATGCACCCAGAAAAGCCACAAAGCCCTATGGCCAACTTTGAGAGAGAAAACGAGGACAGCAAAAAGGTCACAGGATGGGGATGGGCTGGCAAGAATGGGAAATGGGGATTTTTCAGTTGATTTGGGAGTTAACAAAAGTTCTTGTAACATGCTTGGGTTCTGCTACCAGACACATGATATACCAAACAATTAAGAACTTCTGTATATCTACTCTTATTCTGCTTTAGTGCTTCCACTTTCTCCTATCATACACCGAGCTCACACATAAAGGGTGTTATCTTTGTTTATCATATGTTTCCCCAAATCCTATTAAGGAATCATACGACATTCTTTTCCTCTTCCAATATTCCTGGAAGATCAAAACTGGGTTGGGCCTCTCTCCACACTGAGGCACTGTGGAACAGAATACCTTTCCAGAACTGGCAAATCTTGACTTGAGAGCAGTTACAAGAGGTCATTTCTTCTGAGAAAACTCCCTTTGCCCCCTTCAGTCGCCCTACCTATCAGCTCATATACCATTACCTACATGTAGGCATACACCTACAGTCATACACACTACTTTCACTGCATGTCTGCCTCGATACTGCTTCACAGAGCACAGCTGGTAAGAGGCCAACGCGCAGAGCTGTCTGGCTCCAACCCAGCCTACACTCAGAAGCTCCACATCCTGTTGGATGCATGCTCTGTAGAGACTGTCAACACCACACAGAACAGGAATTCTCAGAGCCCACCAGTATAACTTTTTGAAAAGCATTCAAAATTGACAGTGCAGCCACTTAGAGCAAACTATTAAAGGAGGAAAAAACAATTATTTCCCACTTCAGGCTAAATGACTATTTGAAGGAGATGACGATAATTACCTTCCTGATTTCCTGCTGCAACTGAGCCTGGAAATGGCTCTTTAGGCAGGTGGCCTCTTCCTGCAGCTGCTGCAGCCGGGGGTCTGGCTGATTCTTCTCATCCTGAAGAGCCTGCAGCTGACCTTTGAGCTCCTCCACCTCACGGGTCAGCTGTTTGGTCTGCAGTTCAAACCCTTCCACTTGACCAGCTGCATATGCCCGCCCTGCCAGGGCTTCTCGGGTCTCTTCCAACCGAAGCTCCAAGTCTTGGCGCTGGATCCTCTCCTCCTGCAGCAGCTTCTGGAGCTCACGCAGCATCAAGGCATGGTCACTCTGTTCCTGGGCCCGATCGTGCTGCTGTGTGATAAGTCGGGCTTTGGTTTCTGCTATCTGCTCCTGCAGTCCCTTCAGTTCTCCCTCCAGACGGTCCCTCTCTTCCTCTGCCTTGTTACTGGCATCCTCTAAGTCCTGTTTCATCTTCTTCTTGTCAGCCAGGTAAGAAGCTTCCATGCGGGACTTCTCCTGGGTGACTGTGGCCAAAGCGCTGGTCAAAGTAGCCAACTGAGTCTTCAGCTGGTGCAATCGTTTGTCCACCTCCCCACATGCAGACGATCCATCCCCACTGCTACTGCTAACACCACTCTCCGACCCGCTGGCCTCCTCGGACTTTGGAGGTGGTGGTCCACGGGCCTGTCTGTCATCTTCTACCCCAAACTCACCCTTGGTGCTAGTGAGGCTGGCTGCAGTATCCAAGCTGGTGGCGGTCCCAGTGCTATCCTCGCTGTGCGTGGAGCATCGGTCATCCACGTTGTCAGGACAAGTGAGGGGGCCTGGAGGCTGGCCATCTGCCAGGCCCACATCCGCCTCGTGGGACACTGACAGCACCTTGATGCTGGCCTCTAGCGCCTCTTTTTCTTTCAGGAGGCTTTTGTAGGCGCGAACCACATCCTTGAGACGTGCCTGGTACTGGAGAAGCTGCTGCTTCTGCGTCTCAATGGTCTCCAGCAGGTCCTTTTTGCTGGGGCCACCCCCAAAATTCATTCCAAACTTCTCCATGAGGATTCAGAACAGGTTGTTCCACGTCAGCGTTGGAGCAGCCCGGGAAAGGGTGGCGGAGACGCTGGAGGGCGTTGTGGTCCCCGCGGCCGCACACGCGCTCCTCCCAGCTGTCCGAGACCGACGCGGGGCGGCAGGGCAGCCTGGCAGAAGCGTCACCGGGTCCCGGGCACGGAGGGCGGGGGCGGGTCCCACCGAGAGGCGGGGCGACGCGGGCAAGAGAGGAGCACACAGCCAGGGCTCCCCCGCACTGTCCCAGGAACCGCTCCGCGCTCTGCGCTCTGCGCTCCCTGCCCGCCCGGGCCACAGCAGCCCCTGCGGGCCCTCGGCCCACTGTCCGCCAAGGGTTTAGGCTGAGCGCAACCCCATCACGACTTCCTAACTACAGCGGCCCGACAAGGGCGCTTCCGGGTTCGCCGGAAGTGACGATAGCACGCCGCCGCAGGCTCCGCCCCCGTGGCAAGAGGAACTCGGGGCTACTCCATCTAGCGAGAGCGTGGCAGCGGCCTGCTGAGAACCTGGCGGGGCTGCGGGGCTGTGGGGCTGCAAGCCTACTGCTCCCCGGAAGAGCAGAGCAAGCCAAGCTGAGGACACGCGAGTGATGTTGGTTTCGTGAGGGTCGCTGGAGTTTGCCCTCAGGCTACGATCAGCGAGGGGCAGGGGGCGACGTCGCATTGAGTCCTTACCAAACAGCTCAGTGAGCGACGCGTCCCCACTATTTTGGGGGGCTCAGTACCTTTGTCCCTAAAGAACAACAATTAAGACTCTTACTTAAACCATGAACACAGCAACCCTTTCTAATACAGTGTTTGGCACCTAATAGGCGTATAGTATAATAATTATTAGCACCCTTCCCGAGTTCTGCTGAGTTGATTCAACAAATGTTTGTAAAGGGCATCCGTATAGCCATGATGTCTGTCCTAAGTGCCAACTATATTCCAGGAGCTTCGCAAGAGTTTTTCTATGTAGTCTTTACAATAATTCTGCTCAGTGGGTATTATCAGCACTGTTTTTACAGATATGGAAACATGAAGCACGGAGAGGTAAGTAACATGCCCAAGGTTGCACAGCGAGTAAGTTTAGGAATGCTATGCAAATCAATCCAACTCTCAGCATACCAAATGCTGTGCCAGATGATCACCACGATGAGATGAGGCCCTGCCCTCTCGTAGCTCACATCTAGCAAAGAACCAGGCATACAAACACAAGTCCTGCCATCATACCAGTATGCATAAATATAGTCAATGTGATATTGAAGTCCTGTCTAGCGGAGGCAGAGAAGGCTCTCAGAGAAAATACTTGGGGATCTGAAGAATGAGTAGTGACTGCCCATCTAATTAGACAGGGAAACAAGCATTCCAGGCAGAGGGAAAAGATTACAAAGACTCCTGGGGCATCGGGGAGCCTGGCTCACCTAGAAAGCATTGAGAATCATCTCAAGGCAGTAGTTTAGGGTATGCAAAGGAAGTGGCAACAGACAGGGCTGGCATAGTAGATGGAGACCCAAATTAAGACATTTAGATTATATCTTAGGTGATTAGAAGACACTGAAGGATTTTAATCAAAAGAGTGGCATCATCAAGACTTGAGTGACAGGGTGGCGATACCAATGAGCAGGAGAACTGTGAGGAGACTGTTGCAGCCATGGAGAAGAGATGGTAGTGAAATAAGGCAGTGATGGAAAAAAAGAGGCTGAAAGAAAGCTGAAGATATAGACCTAACCTGACTTGGTCACCACTAGTTGTGTTATTATATTGGGACTCTTTTCAATGTATTCTTCGACCTTATAAAAGTCGTCTTAGGAATGCAAGTCTGTGACTGAAGAGTAAAGTCATGCACTCATACTTGGTGTCCAAAGTCTGTTCTCTTTACAGACACGCAGATGTAGATGGGAGAGGCCCTGGAGGTCTGTTCAGACCCAGTTTCTTAGTGGCCCAGGAAACATCCAGCTGCATTATACAAAACATTCAGATACATTATCTCATCATTTTAATTTTTACCATAACCTCATGAAATAGGGCAAATATTAGTCTCCTGTTATAGATACGAAAATGACAGCTTGTGAGGATTGTTGAAGGCAAGCTCTCAAAGGCACAATGGCACACAGTAGGCATTCAGTATTTGTTGACCG